TACGATTCTTTTTGTTTTTCTTTTTGTTTTTTGTTTTTTGTTTTTGTTTTTTTTGTGTCCCCTATTAGTAGAGGGCCTGCCCCTCGGCTAGTTTTTCTTTCTTGACACCTAAATAAAGTTTCTATCTAAGTTTCTATATATCGCAATTTGTCACCAAGATATTGTGATTATTAAAACGTTTCCAGAAAATTTGGCTGTTAAGACAAAACTTCCCCAAGAATTTTGTACTGCAAGTATGGCTACTTCTTGCCCTCGAACTTTTGACCGGATCCATCCTGGTAGCTAACAGTTTCGCGTGAGACGAAAGGGCAGCTCTAATTCAAAGTAACAAAAAAGGCCTCTAAAGCATAGTGAAAACCATTTGAGACACTTCAGATATATTTGGAAGCATTCGGTCGTTGCATGGATGCCCCTGTATGTAGTATCCAGTAGTAAAGTTACAAACTATGTACTTTGTCTCATGTATAGTGTGCTATTGGCGCTATGAGAAAACCATGTTGTCCGCAAAGAAGTCGAAGTCGAAGTCATATGTAGTTAACGGCTCATTACGAGTGCCAACGTTAGCTTTACCCACAGTTTTAGTTCCGCGGGTAACTCTATTTAAAAGACCAGTATTGATTTCATTTTACAATTCCACAATTTTCATACCAAAAAACCAGTTCACTGACTGTATTTCCTGAAGGGAGAAACATGGAATTTTATTTCATGCCATGTGTTTTCTGTACTTGCACAGGTATCAAGTATTTTATGGCGACATGTAGGAAACAGAACTGTGACTCAGTTTGCGCCTCCTTTGGTCTTCAATGTGCTGAAACAGGCCAGAGCTTTCCAAACTCATCTGCTTTATCCATATTTGAGTCTTTAGGAATTACCTGTGATACGAAAAACGACACAGATTATTACTTTTACAAAGACCAACCAAACTATATATCTGCTTCGCCGCCATCCAAAGATCTGCAATGAGCAGGTAGATGCACTGGATTCAAAGCTATACCCAGTACTATTGACTGTTACACGGCCAATAATGACAGCGTCCGTAGACTCTGCTCATGTAAAAACCCTTCAGGTGGGTGTTAGCTTTTCTTACTATTTTATCATCAAATCGCTCTTCTTTTCTTCGTCGTTATCAGTCACCCTGCTTTTCCTCTCCCCCACCTTTGCCTTTAATTTCCTGTTTCTCAGTTTTGAATCAGTCTTCATTGTTAAGCAGTTATTTTGAGGTTTTAGCCAATTCTACGAGACATTAAGGTCCACGTGTTGTTTCACCTTGACAGCATTGGCTCCTCTCTCGCTCCTTTATACGTGTTTTGTCCAAGTAAACAGGAGAAGCAAGATATAACGGCCTGTTTTGTTTTCAATATTGCTGTAAATATTTAACTAGATAATGAGTCAAGTCAGCAAATTAAAAAAGGCAACCTGTTTCTTAGTACTGTTAGCATGTTCGGAGTAAACGTCCAACTCATGAAATTTCTTGAAAAAAGTGATCAGTTCTAATTTATCAGTCACCCTTGCAGATATGAACCGGAAGATATACCATTACTGAGCATACTGGCCATGGAGATCTAGATGCTGTTAATGGCCTCACCAGTTCCTTTCGGGGTCCAAGTAGCCTGCGTGGCAGTTATCGAAAGGGAAGGGGGCAGGGAGGGAATAAGAGAAAAGAGGAAGTGCAAGATTTCTTGTGAACGTTATTGATTGTTCTCTCGCCTTATTCCTTTCTTGATCCTGACAGGAACCAAGTCACCAACGCAGTCGACTCCAGCACGGACTACGCATATCATGAGATAAAATCTTCGACCTCAGGAGGAAAAGTATCATCTGCTCAAACCAGAGCTCAACTGGAAATAATGCCCCTCAGCGTAAAACAGAGAATGAAGAAGAATCTAATAGTGGTGGATATCCACCACTATAGTAGTATACTAAAAGAAAGCAGTGAGATAGTTGAGCACAAAAATGCTCCTGTATTACTTTTTGTATTATTTCTTGTGTGTTATGTTTGAGGGGAGGAGGTGGCTGTACGTAGGCTAACTAGTTTACAACAGACTGAGGTGTAGTGTTCCACAGTCACCCAAGCTGTATGGACTACCAAAACTACACAAACCCAACATATATACCTATGCGGCCCATAGTTTCTTTCTGTGAGTCCCCAACCTACCAACTGTCTAAATACTTAACTAACGTACTGAAACCGCTGACTGACGAATCTAGACACAAACTAAAGTCTACTGAGAACTTTATTGACGCCATTAAGACAATATATGCAGATACCGGACGACCACAAACTAGTGTCCTTTGACGTGAAATCACTGTTCACAAGTATTCCACTTCAACTGGCTCTAGACTGTACTGAGAACGCTATTAAGAACTCTACTGTTGAACTACCGCTACCTGTTTGACTTCGACGTACTTTCAGTACAAAGGCAAACACTACAAACAGTTACACGGTACAGCTATGGGCTCTCCAGTTGCTGTTGTTGTAGCAGAAATTGTCATGCAAAACATCGAGGAACAAGCCCTAGCTACCTACACGCGAACTGTACCTCTTTGGTTACGTTACGTTGACGACACATTCACCGCCGTACACAAAGACGGAATCGACGATTTTCACGAACACCTTAACAGATAGAACGCGGACATACAGTTCACCAAGGAGATCGAAGAAAATGGTAAGATACCTTTTCTAGACTGCTTGGTCATTCGCGACAACAACAAACTAAAAACGACTATTTACAGAAAACCGACACATACTGACCGATTACTAGACCAGTCTTCGTACAACCCGACCTCTCACAAGGCTACTACTATCCGGACTCTGACGAGACGAGCGCAACTAGTTTGCGACTCACCTGACAGCCTACAAGACGAAACTGATTATCTTAACAACGTTTTTAGTAAGAACAATTACAACACGCACTTTGTTAGACGGAACGCTCACAGTAACACTGATTCCAACACTCAGACCAACTCTGGCCCTGTTACGACAGCGACTATACCGTACATCAGAGGCACCTCTGAAACTATTGCACGTATATTACAACCTTACAATATACGCGTTGCACACAAACCGATAACCACTTTACGGCAACTGCTTACTAATGTCAAGGATAAAGACAAACCGGAGGACAGACAGGGAGCAGTATACAAGACCAAATACTGCGAATGCCATGCTTCTTACATTGGTGAAACCGGCAGAAACCTAAGCACGCGACTGACCGAACACAAACGCGCGACGAGGAATGGTGACGTCAACAATCACATTGCTGAGCACCATTTAAAGACGAAACATCAAATTGACTGGGACTCTGCGACATGTATATCGTATTCTACAGACTACTATCAACGTCTTACTTTAGAGAGCTGGTTTACTAACTTAAAAGAAACGCCACTGAATCGTAGCCAACAGTTACCAGCGCCGTACAAACGACTTATTGACGAGATCAAGCAAAACTAACTACGAGAGAACGACTGAAGAACTGACAATTTGCATTGACTAACAATAGACGACTTTTTAACTGTGACAATAGACGGATCGAAACGCACCAATTACTGATTACGAGTCTTCATAGCCAATAACATCACGGCTTAACTGACAGACGAACAATATCATCGCGACGTAATTGACCAATCAGATCAATAACTAGAGTATAATACCATCAACTGACGTGATACAACTCACTTTGACTCTGAAGACGACCACCGCACAGGTTGTCGCAACGCCAGTCACTGTCAATAACAGTCCTATACTACGTTCACCCGGATGATCAAACTCAACCTACTTTTGCTAACTAGTTTATATTGGCGGTTTTTTAAACCTCTCGAGCGTGCTTTTTTTTTCAGGTTCCGTTTCAACAGCTTAGGTTGTTGATTTAAGTGAGCTTCACTAGCTGCGGGTGAACAATTTCTTTTCATCTACAGTTAGGTTAGCCTGTTTACAGAAAAAAAGGATGATACTTACGACATTGTTTACACGTTAATGGACACTGCTTTCTTATATTAGGGTAACTAGCACAGAACTTTATCCATTTATGGCAATTCACATCGTTATCTTTACAGGAAGCCGCTAAATGAAATAAAAACAAATTGTAATTGTAAATAATACATCGAGTTCACTGAAAAAAATACCCGGACTTTAGTTTCAATTAATTAAAAATTGTGATCTAATGGCGATATCTGTTCCCCAACCAGTCGACAAGCGAAATCCTATGAGATAAGTCACGGGATCACTTAATGTAAAAAACAAATGGTATAATCTTGGACAATTAGGCAGAATATTAAGAACTCCCCCCCCCCCTCCCCCCCACCGCACTCCGGGAAAAGAAGAAGGATGGGAAAATGGCGCGTTTTGACCTTGGCGCGGCTCCATCCTTGTTTCGAGAGGATGGGAGTGTTTGTTGTTCCATTTTATTTTGTCCAAGATTGCTGGCTCACAGTAACGTTGCTGTAGCAATTCAAACTAGAACAATGATGAATTAATTAAAAAACGATATATTTTGTTATAAAAATGTCATTTCTGCCTTTTAAGGTCTTTACCGTACTTTTAAACTTTCTAATCCAATTATATAACAAACACAAAACAAATCCATCTAATCAGCTAAAATAACAATACATTATACAAAAAAACAAAAACCTGGTTTGTAATGTTATCTGTCACAAAAACATAATGCCCTGTCATTAGCAGGCTGCTCCAAAATGTCTTTATAATTGCGTTCTAAAGACACTTGAAAGACCATCAATTTTACCCTCTATAACCTTTCCCTCTATATAAAGTGATAAATAACGGGGATTCTATGTTTTTACCTCTTTTTCTGTGATATTTTGTATTATTTCTTGTGTGTTACGTTTTAGAGGAGGAGGTGGCTGTACGTAGGCCAACTAGTTTATATTGACGGTTTTTCAAACCTCTCGAGCGTGTTTTCTTTTCAGGTTCCGTTTCAGCAGCTTAGGTTGTTGATTTTAGTGAGCTTCACTAGCTGCGAGGAACAAGTTCTTTTCATCTACAATTAGGTTAGCCTGTTTACAGAAAAAAAAGGATGATACTTACGACATTGTTTACACGTTAATGGACACTGCTTTCTTATATTAGGGTAACTTGCACAGAAATGTATGTACCGATGGCAATTCATATCGTTATCTTTGCAGGAAGCCGCTAAATGAAATAAAAACCAATTTGTTAATTGTTAAATAATGCATCGAATTCTCACTAACAATACCCAGAATTTTGAAATTAATTAATTATTTTTTAAATTAATTAATAACATTTCGCTTGAACGTTTATTTACATTCATATCTGTACATGTATTTTGAAGATAAGGTGATCCCAATACTAAGAACATCATATAATACTAAGTGCCAGGTTTTGCACATATTCTGCGAGATAGCTCACACTCGAACCGAGTCGAACATCGCCAAGAGAACTTGCTCACATGGCTATTCCAGCTGCTTTTTCATGAAAATCCTCATCCTGATTCCCTCTTGCCCTTGGCCTAATTTTAAGTAAATTACAATATCTTTGCTTCTTTATCACCAACGAGATAAGAAATAACTACACCATAATAGCATCGACATCAGCGTACTTGCTTCTGTAGCGTTTGTTGTAGATGTAGTGGAACCTGTTTTTGTGCGATTATTATTCCATCTCCCGTTGATGTCAGGAGTACTTGGATTTAAGAACGTGGTAGTTCGCGTGGGGGCAAAACTGTACGATGAACCCGTAGATAGTACTGAGGATGATGATGATGGTGATGATGATGATGATGATAACGAAGGAAATAGTGATGGAGACGTCGGTGTTGGTGGCGGAATTTCTGTAAAGAAATAGAGTATAATACGTCACTTTACTATTCGGACTATGATTAGTCCGTTCACTTTATTAATAGCACGTTAACGGCGTGCTTACTAGTGCAAGTTACACGTGATCTGATGCGCCGATTACTTGCATTTGTAGTGCTCGAATGTAGTTTTTTCTCCTCGATGGGCAAAGTCCCTTTTAGCACCTAAAGCAGTAGGCTTTGTCTTGCAAATGCTTAGATTTAGAACAAAGATGATATCCCCAGCACACTACACTATGGCCTGAACTCATGGGCGAATTGAGGGGTCGGCCAAGTTGACCGCGGCCACCTCTTTTTCTGTGATATTTTGTATTATTTCTTGTGTGTTACGTTTTAGAGGAGGAGGTGGCTGTACGTAGGCCAACTAGTTTATATTGACGGTTTTTCAAACCTCTCGAGCGTGTTTTCTTTTCAGGTTCCGTTTCAACAGCTTAGGTTGTTGATTTTAGTGAGCTTCACTAGCTGCGAGGAACAAGTTCTTTTCATCTACAATTAGATTAGCCTGTTTACAGAAAAAAAAGGATGATACTTACGACATTGTTTACACGTTAATGGACACTGCTTTCTTATATTAGGGTAACTTGCACAGAAATTTATGTACCGATGGCAATTCACATCGTTATCTTTACAGGAAGCCGCTAAATGAAATAAAAACAAATTGTAATTGTAAATAATACATCGAGTTCACTGAAAAAATACCCAGAATTTTAATTAATTAAAAATTGTGATCTAATGGCGATATCTGTTCCCCAACCAGTCGACAAGCGAGATCCTATGAGATAAGTCACGGGATCACTTAATGGGAAAAAATAAATGCTATAATCTTGCCCCCCCCCACCACCCCTCACTCCGGAAACAGAAGAAGGATGGGAAAATGGCGCGTTTTGACCTTCGCGCGGCTCCATCCTTGTTTCGAGAGGAAGGGGGTGTTTGTTGTTCCATTTTATTTTGTCCAAGATTGCTGGCTCACAGTAACATTGCTGTAGCAATTCAAACTAGAACAATGATGAATTAATTAAAAAACGATATGGTTTGTTAAGAGAATGTCATTTCTGTTTGAGAGTCTTTACTGTACTTTTAAACTTTCTAATCCAATTATTTAACAAACACAAAGCAAATTCATCTAATCAGCTAAAATAACAAGACATTATACAAAAAAACAAAAACCTGGTTTGTAACTTTATCTATTACAAAAACATAATGCCCTGTCATCAGCAGGCTGCTCCAAAATGTCTTTATAATTACGTTCTAAAGACACTTGAAAGACCATAAATTTTACCCTCTATACAAAGTAATAAATAAAGGGGATTTTATGGCAAAATTTGATGTATGTGACCACAATGTGTCGTCCAAATTTCTAAGGGTTAGATTTTAAAAAAGATAAAGAAAAATTAAAAGGGAAAGAAATTCTTTTCTAAACAAAAGACAAAAAAAAAACAGAACAAAAATAAATTCAAAGGCCGGCATAAATGCATTCAAGTTGCGCTGCCCTAAGGTGCTCGTAAAGTTCTTAACTCAGAGTTTTTTCTTGAATTGAAAGAGAGAGGATTCTCATGACGGGTAGACTTTTTTAAGGATTGTATTTTTAAACCAGTTATAGAAAATATTGTTTAATCATGTCCCTTTTGTGTTAGCATTATTAAGTATTACACGCGTAAATTGGCACAGGGATACGTCTTACTGTTATTGCACGCTTCATGAATTGACCACTCCAGAAAATACCATAACGTAACATAATGCTCTTTGTTTGTCACCCCAAAATTTTCCGTAAGCATTGTTTTCAGTTTCTCTTGGGACCATTTTAACTCCCAAGAGAAACTGAAGACAAAGCTTATGCAAAATTTTGGGGTGACAAACAAAGAGCATTATGGTATGTTATGGTATTTTATGGAGTGGTCAATTGGAACAGAGACAGTTGTTAGGCATGATATTCTTTCCTTCCACTTACTATTTTATGATGCTCTACTGGATACAGCTATTTCGAGAAAGGTTGTGGGAAAAAATGTGCACGCGACAATCCCGACTAAAGGTAATATGGGATATGATCAATACACTGTTCCTGACGACTGTAGCTGTCGAACCTACTTCTGTTGCTTTCCTTTAGCACTCGCAAACACATTCCCATGGCCTTTCGTACCAATTCTTTCAATTCTTTGAAAAAAAGAGAACTCAAAACCACCCACAATGCCTTTCAGGACTGTCGCGTGCAGTTTTCCCGACAACCTTTCTCGAAACAGCTGTATCTAGAACCTATAGTAGATGTCATATGCATGGGCCTTATGGTCTTAGAATCCACTTAAAATGTGTTAATTATAAAGAAGTTCTACTCTTGAGGCCCCTCAAGAAATGCATAGAATGAAAATCCACTTCTCCCGTCTGAAGATAGCATCTACAAGGTTGCACTGAACTAATTTTCTCTGTATTGAGACAATGCAATGGCTGCAATGTTCCATTCTGTGATGCAAATAAGTAAAGAGAAACAGAAACGTACCTGAACACACGCTGCAGATGACGACCGACCAAAAGGACAGTGCAAAGAAGACAACATTCAAAACCTCCATGGAGTTCTCAGATGTGTACGTTAAACTATTTGTCTTATTAAACCTTCAAAGTTGATACTTCATGTCATTGACAAAGCATTGAATTGGAATTGGCCACTATGCATTTATATCGGGTTGTAAAATAAACAATTAAGTTTTGACGTTGCTATGGAACATGCTGTTACGTGACCACACTGTTTATGAATACTCATCGGTCTGGTACGTGAACACTTGTATACTGTGGAAATGATACACAGGAAAATGATACACAGGAAATTAACAAATCGACCACAATTTTCCATGGTCTACAAATGACGTCATAAAATGTTTAAAACTCAAGTGGAACCACCAGCAGCAGGCGAGTGGTTTTACTGCAAAGTTTTGAACATTTTATGACGTCATTTCTATGGTCTATAAGAGTGTACACCATGGAAAATTGTGGTCGAATTTTTTTTTTACAATAACATTTATTTTTCGAAAAATCAAAACAACCGGCACTGCGTGACATGTTACGTCATTCCATGGTCTAAAATCTCATAGACCTAGCTCTCGACCAATCAGCGCGCGAGGATTCGCTCAGTTATCTTAAAATTGTCTTTAATGCTAGCTTCCATTCATGCTTTATGTTATGATCTTAGCCAGAGGTGTTTGAAAATTTTGCCTCTTCCAGCTCTCTTCCCCTCAGATCATAAAAGGCTGATTTTAAGACATGCTTTACTGAGTAAGCTCCAATCAAGTGTCAAATACACAAGATTTTTTTATTATTTGAAGGATTCTGTCGTTACTTGATCTTAAGATACAAGAGTCATAGATGTTTTATGTGTCTTTTATGTCCAGCATCGTTTTAGTACTCAACTAATAAAAAGTAAACAAAACTTTCAAGCACTTCTTGAATTTTATTAAGAAACAATGCATTACCAATCTTGGGAAACTGATAGAACTAGTGATAAATTTTTAGACTGGTTGGCATCGAACTGTTACCCACATATTACGCAATTGAGGTCATATTTATGTCATGTCATCTCACTGATATAGGGATAGTAATCTATGCAATAAATAACCCATCATATAGTGTCTACCCCGACCGGCAGATTGTTGTTATTTGCCAGATTTTTCATTTTAATCCTCAGATTTTACTGATCTAGATAAACTTGGTAGATCTGCCGAAACTAATGTCACTTCTTTTATTTCAGATGCCAAAGCTTTTTAGTTATGCTTCATTGTTACTGTTGCTTGTCACCATGGAATGTAGGCTAACAATTTCATGATTTGTCCGGCCCTATAGGCCTAATAAGCCCAAAGGAAAAAAAAACTTTTTACATCTTTCACAAAGAAATAAGTTAAATAAACAAATTGTTCAACTCCTTCTTATCTCGGATTAGCGATAATGTGCCACAAATTAAAAATGGATTGGTTTATAACATTCCACTACACTCTCTCTTATTATGATATGTGAAACACTTGCAGGGGAGGTTTTTGTTCTGGGTAAAGAAACATTATAAAAGGAAATGTACGCCTATAAAACTGGAAGCACGACCGAAAGTAATGCAGGGCAACCATCCTTTAACATAATGCACATGCGCAACAACAAGAAGGGACTCATCGAGATTAGTGACTCAAAACGTTTTCTTGCTACTAAGGGAGCTGCATGGTTTGAAAGCGAGTCTGGGCAATGCCTGTAGGAATGAATAAATGTGTTTTCAGAACTGAACGTCGCACTTTTGAAAGATCTATTATAACAAAGTGGACTTTTCTCTTAACGCGAGAAGATAAAATCAAGAAAGGACTTCAGGGCTGAAATTACAGGCAGGGTGAGCTGCAAGAGGGGTGACGGGGAACTCAGTACGAGGCCTGCCCGCAAATGACGGGCGAGACCAGCTTGGGAGCACAGGAAAGCTCGGAGCGAAAACGATGATTGCGCTGCCCGCAGAACAAAACCGTACCCACGTTAAGCATATAGGCAATTGAAGACAGGAGGCACGTATCCTGCGATCAGGCTATCCTTCTTCTACCCTGCGAGCAGTGGTTTCTCCAAGACGGACGTAGCGTCCGGCCTGGAGAAACCACTGCTCTTAGGGTATCCTTCTTCCCTTTTGTTTTGAAAAAAGAAAAGAAAACACCTAATCGCAGGTTACGAGGCACGCAACGAAACTTATCAAAAAACTGTATCCACCGAATCTCACTCTGAGCAAGAGCGCAAGAGATCAGAGAAAAACCTTTCTGTGAATTCATTCGTTTGGGAATTCATTGCCAAGACCACAAGTGCCATTTGTGGTTAAAATTATTCCCAAAAGAGGTCAGTCGGTCAGCCGTATACTAAACACAAGTAGCTGAGCTGTTGCCATAGCTACTTCAGTCAATGCATTTATAACTTTTCCTGGTGCTGTAGGTTATGTTTTTTGTCGAAACTAGGATCATTATAATTGTCTTTAGTCTTACAAAGAAGTCATTTTTTCTGACGTTTTGGCAAGATTTGATTTCATGATTTACGGGCTGAACAAGGTGAAATTTAGCCGATCCCCATTTGAATGTTACTTCACTGAAGTGATCCCCCCTAATAACTTTTGATGACTTTCGTGATTCCCTTCCCCCCCCCCCCCATGTCTTCATTTTTCAAGCAAATTTAAATGGTCTCCCCTCTGAATCCTTCCGTTCTCAGTTACGACTGATCCCCCCTTTTGTTCTCATAAAAATCAAGTGACCCCCCCTAAAATCCTCCGCCGCCCTAGGCGATAAATAATTACTGGTCCTTCAACAAACCCTAGGCCAATCTACAGTTATTTCGAGAGAGACTTTCGGAAAAGGGAGTGCACTTGACAATCCAGAAGGTATTGTGGATGGTTTTGAGAGGATCGTTCCTCCGAATATTTGAAAGAATGGCACGGGAGGTCAAGGCCAGGAGGTATATTTGCGAGTGCAGTGACAGTGACAGGTTCGATTCGACAGCTACAGTTGTTAGGAACAGTGTATTGATCATATCCATACTACCTTTCAGGATTGTCGCGTGTACATTTTTTCCGACAGACTTTCTCGAAATAGCTGTATTCAGCGCGGGACACTTGTCTTGGTCTCGAGGGAGTCCTCCCCATGAGTTGAGGTATTAAGTCAGTGCCGGTAACTTACTCAGTCTGAGCTCAGGAGAAGCTGGTCTTGGCAATGAACCGACTACTAGAATTTTCAGCTTCTTTAGTACTGTTTTGCCTTGAGACCTCACTGTTTGAATCTTTGGCTACGTGGATTCAGGGTAAATGCAAAAGGCAGTTAAGCTTACAAATACAGTTGCCTCTCATCGCTCCCTGCTGTTGGGACGTGTCTAGCTAACATCCAAGCGGTGAAAAGCCGGAAGAGAAGGTCAAAAGAGGCCACTGTATTCTCCGTAGTTTCTCCGTTATTATAAACAATGTGTCATTTTTACTCACAAAGTCACAGAATATTTTGCCTGAGGGCAATTAGTCCAGTATATATTCACCATGCCAACCGAAATAGGCGTTGTTTCACTGGCCAATTAGAACTCTTCCTCGTATGTTGTCGAGGATACAATTGAGCTGTTTAAACCGGTCAGTATAAAACACGGACTGCGGACTGCGGACCACGGACTGCGGACTGGGTATAAAATACGGACTAGGTATAAAATGCAGACTCCGGACTGAGTATAAAACACGGACTAGGTATAAAACGCGGACTACAGACTATGTATATAAAAACGACTTTAGAAAGGTAAAACCGAGAGAAATGGAAAGCGGACTAGCAAAAACAGTAGTCCCAGCTTTAACATTCCTCACGAAGTCTATTCTTCCCACGGAGAAGGAAGGTCATGCCCATTCCTCAAGGCAACTGAAATTAAACTCTGAATTTTATAAAAGGAGGGAGTTAGAAGAGATTTCAATTTGCAGTTTTAAACCAATAAGAAGCAGCGAATTTAAAAAAAATAGTATTGATGTAAGTCAGATCAGTAAAATTCTTATCGGATGTCACAATTCCGTTTCAAATAAAGGCTTGGGAATATGAGGACTGAAT